AGTAGATTGTTAGGTAGAGCATAGACTGCTGGTTATGCATCTGGTTATGTATATTTTGATAATCATTATCACTATCATCGCTAGCATAGCTGACGTTAGCTAGCTACCTAAATAGCTAGCTGGCTGGCTAACGTTAGCCTACCTCAATACAACTCGGACTTTGCTTGGATACACAATAACATTTAAAAAGAAGGCAAATAATTAGTAGGAAAACCTTTTGTCATGATTGTGATGTCATAAAATTGATGTTTTTCTGTTATACAAAGTCAACAGTTGGATGCCAGACTGATCCCCTGGTCATGAACAGATGCAGGGACCTTCCAGAAGGAGCAAAGGTGGGTATCATAACATGTCCAGCAATGTGATTGCAATGGTTTGGCAACTTCCTCTGTTGTTGTCAGAGTCTCCCTCGACTCCTATGAAAAGGACACGCCATCATGAGGCCTCTGATAGTGACCTGAGTTACTGCCCTGATGACACAGATGGCTTCATCAACAACGACAGGTAATGTGTCTTATGTGAAAAGTTATATTCAAAAATACCTGGCTTGATAAACTAGTAGGCTAATTCCCCAGCCAAGCAGATACAACTAGTAGATTAATTTTGGTTGTGAAGTGCATTAGCAAAAAGCTTTGTCCTTTCTTTAGAACAAATGCATTTTACCACATAGCTGTCTATTGTATCACCCTGTCACAGGCCCTCCCAGTCAACACCACATAAGATTGCCTGCTGCAGTTGTTTGAGAGGTGGCCAGTTTGCAGCTGACCAGCAGCATAGAGAAGACCAGGAAGGGGGCCCTCATCAGCATCATGCAGACATGCCCTCACTGTGAGCATTGCTATGACTGATACAGTCAGTCACATGTTGGCAAGTATCCGGCCTCAACCTTCACCTGTCAGCGGCAACAGCTTCAACAGGCTTATCATTTGTACAAATAAAGAAGGTAACCCACTTAATTAGTTTGATACATTAATACATTTTCTACTTCTTAGATGTCCATGGCATAACCTAGCCTGGTGGAACCAGCCTGATCGCAAGTGAAATAGAAAGGTGAACACAGGGATCAGGTTGGTTCCACCAGGCTAATCATAACCACCACTGATAATGTAATCAGTGCTCTGTGTGTGTGTGTGTGTGTGTGTGTGTGTGTGTGTGTGTGTGTGTGTGTGTGTGTGTGTGTGTGTGTGTGTGTGTGTGTGTGTGTGTGTTTTTGTGTGACCGACCAGTATCTTTGATAAGGGGCCAGGAGCCCCATCAATGGGACTCTGGCAAAGACCTTACCTCCATTCTACTAAGCTAGCATATGTAATTGTTTTAAGGTCAGATTCACAGATTCACTATATGGAACAACAGATAGATTTTTTTTTAAACTAACGGAAGTTTGTTCTGAAGTGTCTGTCCTATATCTGAGAGATATAAGAAAGATCAGGAAACTATATATATTTTTTGGACATGTATTTAACCCCTTATTTTTGGTACTGAACTAGCTCCATATATACTTCCATTCATATTTTTAACTGGTAACTGGGTACCTTCAGACAAGTCTTGTGAGGCTTGTGGGTGTGTTTGTGAGCATCTCACCTTTCCACAGAGGGGTCGTAATAGTGTTAGTGAAACATGTGTTCTTATAAGCCCAGTTATTGCGCAATCGCGTGTGAAAACAGTTTGGACTGGCCACTATTTAAAAGTGGATCCCAGCTTTCTCATGCTGCTATATTTATTGCTCGATTCTTAAAATTAAGCACATTCATTCGCTTTACAAATGGTGTAGCCTACCTGGCATTTAAAAAATGTAACCGCACATAACCTCCATTCACTATTCCAGTGCAGGCTACAGATGAAAAGTTTTTTTTTGTGGGCCATTCTAAACTAAAATAATTCCACACATATATTAGTAGGCTACATGTAAATACCAGATTAAATTGAGAATAGTCTGATGGGTGAGAATATTATCAAGTGCTTGTTACATTGTGTGCAGCCTGAGCAGGAAACAGAGTAGAGCTCATGCCTTTCATGCAACCTTTTTCAAATTGTCATTGGAGTCGCATCACGCAGCCTTAGAATGTATTAGAAATCAAAACATATAGCCTAACATTTGTATCACAACTCAATTTGCAGAAATAACTCTAAATTAAGCTTATAGGAGGACTAGCGCTGTGGCGGTCATGACATTTCAGGTTATTGTCAATCAAAAGACTGCCAGTCTCATGGTAATTGACGTTAATTCACATAAACACGTTTAGCATCTCCAAGCTTCCGCACATACAAGCCCCTGATGCGCCCCTTTGGAACATCTACATTTAAAAAAGTCTAATAAATCAATTTAATATACAACATCACAATCAAGTCATGATTTATTTTAGTCAGGTCTAAAGAAACATTATGATATGAAGAAAATGTAGTTCAGAAGAACAGAATATTTTATTTGATATGATTTTACAGTAAGAAGAATATAGTTGAATTTAACTGAATCAAATAGAAAGGATATTTTTCCCATTGTGGAGCGAGTGTGCATATGAAGTGGCTATGTTGAGCGTAAAAGTAACCATTTGAAACAGGTCCTATATGCAAGATTTAGAGTTATTTAAGAACTTTAGTGAATGATACAAACCTTAGAATGTCTTAGAAATCAAAACATACAGTGCATTCGGAAAGTATTCAGACCCCTTGACTTTTCCACAATGTGTTACGTTACAGCCTTATTCTAAAATTGATTAAATTATTATTTTTCCTCATCAATCTACACACAATAGCCCATAATGACAAAGCGAAAACAGGTTTTTAGAAATGTTTGCAAATTTATTCAATATAAAAAACATAAATACCTTATTTACATAAGTATTCAGACCCTTTGCTATGAGACTCAAAATTGAGCTCAGGTGCATCCTGTTTCCATTGATCATCCTTGAGATGTTTCTACAACTTTATTGGAGTCCACCGGTGGTAAATGAAATTGATTGGACATGATTTGGAAAGGCACACACCTGTCCAAATAAGGTCCCACAGTTGACAGTGCATGTCAGAGCAAAAACCAAGCCATGAGGTCGAAGGAATTGTCCGTAGAGCTCCGAGACAGGTGAGCAAGTGCCTTGGTCAGGGAGATGACCAAGAACCCGATGACAGAGCTCCAGAGTTCCTCCACCAATCAGGCCTTTTTGGTAGAGTGCCAAACGGAAGCCACTCCTCAGTAAAAGGCGGAGTTTACCAAAAGGCACCTAAAAGGACTCAGACCATGAGAAACAACATTCTCTGGTCTGATGAAACCAAGATTGAACTCTTTGGCCTGAATGCCAAGCGTTACGTCTGGAGGAAACCTGGCACCATCCCTACGGTGAAGCATGGTGGTGGCAGCATCATGCTGTGGGGATATCTTTCAGCGGCACAGACTGGGAGACTAGTCAGCATCGAGGGAAAGATGAACGGAGCAAAGTACAGAGTGATCCTTGATGAAAACCTGATCCAGAGCGCTCAGGACTTCAGATTGGGGCAAAGGTTCACCTTCCAAAAGAACAACGACCCTAAGCACGCAGCCAAGACAGGAGTGGCTTCGAGACAAGTCTCTGAATGTCCTTGAGTGGCACAGCCAGAGCCCTAACCCTGACTGGTAACACAATGCACCTACAGCTGTAATGGTAACAGTAACCGTAACTGTAATGCTAAACCTAAACCTAACTCTGACTTGTAACACAATGCACCTATAGCAGTAATGGTCACTGTAATTCTAACCCTAACCCTAACTGTAACCCTGACTGGTAACACAATGCACTTAGAGCTGTAATGGTAACCCTAACCATAACCCTAACCCTGACAGGTAATAAAATGCTCCAATCGCTGTAATAGTCACCCGAGCCCTAATTCTAACCCTAACCCTGGCTGGTAGCTGTAATGGTCACTGTAATTCTCACCTTAACCCTAAACCTAACCCTGACTGGTAACACAATGCATCTACAGCTGTAATGGTAACCCTAACCCTAACCCTGACTGGTAACACAATGCACCTACAGCTGTAATGGTAACTCTAATCTTAACCCTAGCCTAAACCTGGCCCTAAACCTAACCCTAACCCTAACTAGTATTACAATGCACCTACAGCTATAATGGCAACCCTATACCTAACACTAGAACCTAACCCTAAACCTAACCCAGCTAAGACAAAACAAACATATAACAATTAAACCAGCAGACAAAGGCTCCAAGATAGTGATAATGGATAACCAGCAATATCTTTTGGAAGCCAATCGTCAACTCTCCAATACACAACACTACACTCCCATCCACACTTCCACACAGATGCAGACACAGACACTGGTCAGACAGATTATAGCGGACCTCCATGAAAAGAAATGAATCTCACATAGACAGAAAGAGCATTTAGATGGACCTGATATACTGATACAGAGACTTTTAAAAATCTTTTACCAAAAATTCACAAAACACCAGAGACGTGGACTGTCCCTTTTCGGGTCCCCATGGGAAGACCCATCGTCTCAGATTGTGGCAGCGAGTCGTCTCCAGCAGCTGAGTTTATAGATCACTTCCTCAATCCCATCTCACAAAAGCATGCCAGCTACATCAAGGACACATATCACTTCATAGACACATTTCGTACCATTCCAGTCCCAGCACACGCATACCTTTTCACCATAGATATAGACTCTCTTTAAACAAACATAGACATCCCTTCAGGGATGGCAGCAGTGGAAGCCGCACACCGAAGATATCCAGATAGACAGAGACCAGACACACACATTTTACAGCTACTTGAACTGGGGCTCAGAAATAATGACTTTACATTTAATAACCTATACTATCTACATATCCATGGGACAGCAACGGGCAAACGCTACCTTCACGATATCTTCGGAGTGTGGCAACACAATCTACAGGACTTCACCACATTCATAGACATTTTGAACAACCATCATCCTACTATTACAGTTAAAGATGTTATACACCCACATAGGATAAACTTCTTAGACACTACTGTTTTCTTTCCAGACACTGAAGCAACCACAGTTTACCTACACACTAAAGTTTACATCAAAGAAACAGACACACATGCATTACTCCACCAATCAAGTTTCCACCCCAAACATACTTTTCGGGGTATTGTCATGTCACAACTCATCCGATTCTACAGATTATGTACTCAACAGAGGGATTTTAATACAGCTACAGGCACATTGTTTGAGGCATTGAGGAGGAGGGGTTACTCAAAGCGGTCATTGAGATACATCAAAGCTGACATGCTAGCAAGCATCACCGAAAATCAATTGCCTCTTCCTCCTAACGCTAACCTTAACCCACGGGACCCTGCTCCTGATCCTGACCCTAACCCTAACCCTAACCCTAACCTTAACCCACAGAACCCTGTTCCTGACTCTAACCCTAACCCTAATCTTAACCCACAGAACCCTGTTCCTGACCCAAACCCTAATCCTTACCCTAACCCCAATCCTTACCCCAACCCTAATCCCAAACCTTACCTTAACCCCCAGGTTGCCTGTAGGGACCACCAGAACACTGGTGTTGATGCTTACCTTCACCCTCAACACCACCACCACATACCTCTGGGACAGCCACCCATACCCTATCCTCTCCCTTTCCCTAACCAGAGTCCGAATCCCAATCCCACCCACCCCATCCTTTTCTGCTACCCTCAGACTTCCCCTAGAACCCCCACTCCCATTTCTGCTACAGGGCCTGAACCCCAGAGGGTACCTATCATTAGAACTTACTCACATACAAACAAACGCATACATTCTAGACTGAAATGTGCATTTTCTAATACACAACATACATTCCCCCCATTACAACCATTCTGACCTATCTCAGCTTATAGGAGGAACCCAAACCTGAAGGACCTTCTAGATCATGCAAAATTCTCCAACAGGCCCTCTCCCTCTACCCAGGGAACACCATTACTATAGACAACTGACAAACATACACAACCCACACGCACACACCTCCAGTCCAATCAAACAACTGATTAACTTAAACAGCACTAACATTGTTTATGCAATCACCTGTAATGTAATAAGATATATGTGGGTGAAACCGGGTTTGCAATTATAACACACCTCAAACAACACCTATACACAATTAATAATAACAAATTGCCCACACATTTAGTCCAACATTTCCAAACACACCCCATTACACACCTGAATATCACTGGGCTAGAAACTATTTCTACTCGGACCATAGCCTAGAGAAAGGCCACAGAATCAAAGTGGATAGCCACCCCTAAACCTTTGGCTCCACTGGGTCTGAATGGCAAAATATAGGGAAAGGTTCATTATGTTGGAGGATCAGGGGGAGGCTCCATCAGGACAGCCTTGGGGATTGCTTGCACCAGTATGATTTTCATTTTCCATTTATTATGTTGGTAGCAGGTTACCCCCTGAGCTCTCGCCTTCCCTTGACCAGCCCAAGTAATTACAATTTTCACACACACACAAATTCCTTCACAATCCCAGAATTGTAAACAATAACAGAGGACCACCACCTGTTAACTGAAGTCTTGGGCTACTCGTGGAAATTGGAATTCTTCAAATACCTTCATCGGTTTAGGAATTATGATTTTTCTAACTTTGTCCATTTGCTGCAGTACCACTAGCGTTATAGGGTGGGTTTGTTATGCGACCCCAGCTCATATATGGATTTCCTAAGTGCCTGGGTACATTTATAATATTATGTGTTCTAACTGGCTGGGGAGTCCTTACACATTGTTAAGTGCCTTGGTACATTTATAATATTATGTGTTCTAACTGGCAGGGGAGTCCTTACACATGGTTAAGTGCCTTGATACATTTATAATATTATGTGTTCTAACTGGCTGGGGAGTCCTTACACATGGTTGGTAGGCCACGCCTAGCTCAAATATGGCACTGGGAAGGGTCTATGACCATATACAGTTTATTGTGCTCTGACTGGTTGGGGAGGTGTCACATGGTTGGTAGGCTACCCCCAGCTAATATATGGATTTGGTAAGGGTCTAAGTCAAGTTACAGTATATTGTTCTCTGATTACCTGAGGAATTGAATAGGTGGCTCAGCATGGCACCCCAAACACCATAGCTGAGTGATGGGAAATTAGGAAACAATATAGATTGGAAACGGAACTAAACCCTTTGGTAATCCACATCTAATCTAGGGAGTTAGGGTTATAAGGGAATTTATCAAAATATGATGTAGATCTATGACATCCTTATTGATTAATGACATCCAAATCTGATCTAGTGATAAGGGAATTTATCCAAATTCAATCTATGACATCCAAATGTAATCTATGTGACATCCAAATTAAATCTATGACATCCAAATTAAATCTGTGACATCCAAATTCAATCTATGTGACATCCAAATTCAATCTATGACATCCAAATTCAATCTAGGGTTAGGGTTATAAGGGAATTTATAAACATTTGATCAACAACTATGACATCCCAAATTCAATCTAGGATTAGGGTTATAAGGGAATTTATCCAAATTCAATCTAGGGTAAGGGCTTTTAGATCCATTTTGGTGTTTGTTAACATGTAAATAGATGTGAAAATGGAAGTCACAACAGGCTTTTGGATGTCACATCCAGGCCTGAATTTAACATAAATGTGGTTTTGGAAAACCAAAATGTATCTAGGGTTTTAAGGGAATTTATCAAAATATGACATTTTACATTTAGGTCATTTAGCAGACGCTCTTATCCAGAGCGACTTACAGTTAGTGAATGCATTCATGTTTTTTTGTTTGTTTTTTGTTTTATTTTGTTTTTGTTAGTTTTTTTAAACCAGGTGTTTCTGAGCCTCTTTAAGCCCTTTTTTGGAAGACATCCAAATTCAATTTAAGTAAGGGTATTCATCAATTTCTAGTCTTTCAAGTTATTAAGGGGATTTGTCTGGGGGTCGTAGCTTAAACGTGTCTATTGTGATGAGGGGAGATGTATATGTGAGTCTCAAGCGAATCTGACCATGGATATAAGAAGGCTTTCCCCTGGACACTTGTAACTTCAGAGGGTGGCACCACGTGGCACTCCCGACATCATACTTGAGTATTGGGCCAATAGCTGCATCGATATTTAGAAATGGCCTTAGGCACTTATAAAGTCCATAAATGAGATGGGTGTGGCCGTCCCACCACCATACTTGAGTCTTTAGCCAACAGCAGCATACAGTTGAAGTCGGAAGTTTACATACACCTTAGCCAAATACATTTAAACTTAGTTTTTCACAATTCCTGACATTTAATCCTAGTAAACATTCCCTGTCTTAGGTCAGTTAGGATTACCACTTTATTTTAAGAATGTGAAATGTCAGAATAATAGAAGAGAGAATGATTTATTTCAGCTTTTATATCTTTCAACACATTCCCAGTGGGTCAGAAGTTTACATACACTCAATTAGTATTTGGTAGCATTGCCTTTAAATTGTTTAACTTGGGTCAAACGTTTCAGGTAGCCTTCCACAAGCTTCCCACAATAAGTTGGGTGAATTTTGGCCCATTCCTCCTGACAGAGCTGGTGTAACTGAGTCAGGTTTGTAGGCCTCCTTGCTGGGACATGCTTTTTCAGTTCTGCCCACACATTTTCTATAGGATTGAGGTCAGGGCTTTGTGATGGCCACTCCAATACCTTGACTTTGTTGTCCTTAAGCCATTTTGCCAAACTTTGGAAGTATGCTTGGGGTCATTGTCCATTTGGAAGACCCATTTGCGACCAAGCTTTAACTTCCTGACTGATGTCTTGAGATGTTGCTTCAATATATCCACATAATTTTCCTTCCTCATGATGCCATCTATTTTGTGAAGTGCACCAGTCCCTCCTGCAGCAAAGCACCCCCACAGCATGATGCTGCCACCCCCGTGCTTCACGGTTGGGATGGTGTTCTTCGGCTTGCAAGGAACCCCCTTTTTCCTCCAAACACAACGATGGTCATTATGGCCAAACAGTTCTATTTTGTTTCATCAGACCAGAGGACATTTCTCCAAAAATTATGATCTTTGTCCCCATGTGCAGTTGCAAACCGTAGTCTGGCTTTTTTATGGCAGTTTTGGAGCAGTGGCTTCTTCCTTGCTGAGCGGCCTTTCAGGTTATGTCAATATAGGACTGGTTTTACTGTGGATATAGATACTTTTGTAACTGTTTCCTCCAGCATCTTCACAAGGTCCTTTGCTGTTGTTCTGGGATTGATTTGCACTTTTCGCACCAAAGTACGTTCATCTCTAGGAGACAGAATGCGTCTCCTTCCTGAGTGGTATGACGGCTGCGGGGTCCCATGGTGTTTATACTTGCGTACTATTGTTTGTACAGATGAAAGTGGTACCTTTAGGCGTTTGGAAATTGCTCCCAAGGATGAACCAGACTTATGGAGGTCTACAATTTTTTTTCTGAGGTCTTGGCTGATTTCTTTTGATTTTCCCATGATGTCAAGCAAAGACACTGAGTTTGAAGATAGGCCTTGAAATACATCCACAGGTACACCTCCAATTGACTCAAATTATGTCAATTAGCCTATCAGAAGCTTCTAAAGCCATGACATCATTTCAAGCTGTTTAAAGGCACAGTCAACTTAGTGTATGTAAACTTCTGTCCCACTGGAATTGTGATACAGTGAATTATAAGTGAAATAATCTGTCTGTAAACAATTGTTGGAAAAATTACTTGTGTCATGCACAAAGTAGATGTCCTAACCGACTTGCCAAAACTATAATTTGTTAACAAGAAATTTGTGGAGTGGTTGAAAAATGAGTTTTAATGACTCCAACCTAAGTGTATGTAAACTTCCGACTTCAACTGTATATATATTAGAATTGGCCTTAGGCACTTATAATGTCCATAAACGAGATGGGCGTGGCCACCCCACCATCATGCTTGAGACTTAAAACACTTGAGTTTTTCGGGAGAGGTGTCCACAGTAAACTGAACACAGATAGTTTAGATATGGATTCAAACCCTTTCATAATCCAGAAAGGTTTTACGACAAGGCCCAAAATGAATCCTGACCTAAATTTGAGGTGCTTTTGGGTGACAGCGGCAGAACCGTTGAGTCTAGAAACACAATTCAACCACAGGAACGTTCCTAAGATCCTCCCGATCCGGGCAAGCCTACCCTTTACCATGTGGAATTAACCCTTAACAGTGAAAACAGGGTGCAAGTCTTACAACAGTTGACCTTTACCTCTCCCCATAGGAATACAAGCCTGCTGCTCAAACTTCAACCTGATGTCTATGTTGGTTATGATTGCCATATCAAAATCTCTTCAATGACAACCCATCAGGCCACTATAAGGACTACCTGTGTTGATTTTCAGCTTCCTGAAGCAACCGGAAGTGGTTAAATTGACTTAAACGTGGTTTTGAATTCACTCCCTCTGTAAATCAGTCTGTTCTTAATGTAAAGGCTTTAAACTCAGGATTCTGTAAAAGCGTGTCCCAAGGAGGATATGTGTTTCTTTCAGCTTCCTGTGACAACCGGAAGTGCCTTAAATTGAGGTCATAGTGGATGTTTCGAAGGGTTAAAAATGTCACATCTTTTCATATACAGTGAGGGAAAAAAGTATTTGATCCCCTGCTGATTTTGTACGTTTGCCCACTGACAAAGACATGATCAGTCTATAATTTTAATGTTAGGTTTATTTGAACAGTGAGAGACAGAATTACAAACAAAAAAATCCAGAAAAATGCATGTAAAAAATGTTATAAATTGATTAGCATTTTAATGAGGGAAATAAGTATTTGACCCCTCTGCAAAATATGACTTAGTACTTGGTGGCAAAACCCTTGTTGGCAATCACAGAGGTCAGACGTTTCTTGTAGTTGGCCACCAGGTTTGCACACATCTCAGGAGGGATTTTGTCCCACTCCTCTTTGCAGATCTTCTCCAAGTCATTAAGGTTTCGAGGCTGACGTTTGGCAACTCGAACCTTCAGCTCCCTCCAC